GGCCGCATTTTCAAAGATACTATAAAAGCAGTGAATCTGAAATTGTATCAAGACTTTGTGTTGAAATATGAATGTTAATGTATTGAATGGTTTCACTTAGTCAAGGGCTTCAATTGTGAGGGACCCATCTTTGTTTCTCCAGTTTAACACTACTACTTTTGAGTTGCAGAAAGATAAAGGTCTTAATCTTAAATGCCTATTTTTTTCTGAGGAGTCATATGAAGTACCACATTTAACCTTTCAAAATTCAATTTTTATTCCCTCCACTCTTAAAGGGAAACTCAAGTTTGCACCCTTTTTTATGTAAAATAAAAGAAATTGTCTCAACTTCTAGAGTGTTGTCTTAATGTTTGGTATGTTTGGCCTTGAGTGTTGAACAGTACTGTAACTGATTTACAAGCCTTGTGATGTAAGAAGCCCAGAAGGATCTCACAGTCAGGGTTGAGAATTTTATACTCTTTTATTGGCTGACAGCAAAAAAACTGGTAGAAAGATGTAAATTTGAAAAGTGAGGTGTTTTCCTGAACTGTGGCTAATGTGTTGCACTTTGTTTTGCACACAGCAACTGACAGTACGGGATTGGTTCATATCCTAAAGAGCCTGTAAGAAAGAAAAACCCTTTTTTTGACCTTGTTTAAAGCAAAGAGTTGAATGTATAAAATCATTAGTAAAGTTTTAAAACATACCAATTAAGCATCAAAAACTGCCCATCATGCATCCATTGTTTCTGTGATGTAACAAAAACCAGTAGTTGAGCACTGCCCATACACACGGAAGTTATGGTGATTTAGCCTGGACTGTGTGTGTGTAATATATATATATATATATATATATATATATATATATATATATATATATATATATATATATATATATATAAATATAAATATATAAATGAATGAATGAATGAATAGGAGGTCTTGGAGAGGAGTGGAGAAGGGATCATGGTCTGGTTCTGTTTTTCAGGGTTTGGACTTGGTTCCTCAGTTCCAGTGAAGGGTCATGTTAATGCTACAACATTCAAAGATATTCTATACAATTATATGCTTCCAACATTGTGGCAGCAGCTTGGGGAAGAGCCTTTACAGTTGCTGCATGCAACTTTTTAATAACATCTATGGTTTTGCCATTGGATGTACAACAAGCTCATACAGGTGTGATAGACAGGTGTCCACATACTTTAGGCCACCTAGTGTAGAATTCATTCCCTGCCATGCTCTCATCCAAGATCCTGTCTGACACTACTGGTGTACACAGTTTCTGACAGACTTATGACGTTCCTCAGTGTTTTGCTCATGGCGCTGTCACCCTCAGGTTGCTCATAAGGAGTCAGGACCTCCTGGGCCCACATTCACAAAGCTTCTCAGAATAAAAGTCCTGATCCAAGACCAGATTCCTCTCTTATTTGCTGTAACTAGTGCCCATATTAATGCTGTGTAAAAGGTATAAACTGATTCCAGCAATATTTCATTGAGAAGTTTGATAAGTAAGAAGTTTTGTTAAAAAAAAAACAAAAAAAAGAAACTACTATACAAATAAAATTTAATTGAGCAGTAAATGAAGAATACAACTTAAAACACCTGTAAAGAGGTATTTTAAGTAATTCACACGTTTACAGGGTTATGTCACACTTTTTAAGTGGGTTCAGTGGTTCTTTGGTCAAAGCAGTGGTTGTATAGAGATCTCTGACACCTCAAATGACCAGCTGAATGCACAGATAAATCTTGAGGAGGTTAATTTTCTCGGTGATGGGGAACCTGTTGTATCTGGTTCTTTAAAGAGCCTTTTAAAAAATGTCTGTGTAGCACAAAAGTCTCAAGGGTTCTTACGAGTCATAGAACGTTTTGCTGCACCCTTACAGAAGTGGCTATTCAAGGGTTCTTTAAGATAGTCGAAGGTTATATAGAGAACCATGACAACTTAAACGACTGTTTGAATGCATAAATGTTTTTTTCTCTGTTTTATATGATTCCAGTATAAGTCGTACAACCTTTTTTGGTACTTCAAAGAACAGTTTTTGCTAAGAGTGGCAGCTGTTTCAGAGCCGGTTTATGAGGAGTCTGGCCTCTTCCTATTCCCCCCGTTATATCAAAAACAGGACTGCTAAACAGCAGAGGGCGCCCGTCAGTGAGTCCTCAATGAATGAGAGTAAATGGAGCTCAACGGCTAAAACCGAAAAGTTAAAATAGTTTCTAATCCCTCACCACAACGTTTCTTTAATTTTAGAAAGTAGAAGGATGTGTTTCACTAAAAAAACAAAGAAATCTGACCTATATATTTCCTTTTTTCTACAGCAAACGGGTTTTGGGCAGCAGGACGCTGGCATTACTGCTAGAGCGTGATGATTGGTTGGCGAGCGGAGCAGCTCATTGGCTGTTCGCACTCACTGACGTCATGAATATACATTGGCGCCATTTTAAACTCCTATAGTTCAAGTTTAAAAGCTCTTAAAAATATAACAGCAGTGTTAAAATGTTTTATGCTGTTCTGTGTTCAGGAAATGTTTGTATTCTTTTACATTAAAAATGTTTAACATTTATAAACTATGATTTTGCTCAAATGCTCCATATCAACCCATTCATTTTGGACTCGCTCAGAAGCGCCCTCTAGCGTTTGAGAAAATCGGAAGAGTGGGAATTCTCATGTTTTTTTTTTTTGTTTTTTTGTTTTTTTTCCAGCATATAACCATATATATACAAACAAGTATAACAGTAGGATGCCTTACAGCCTTCACATCCCAGAATAAACAAAATAAAAAAATAAAGAGGAAAGAAGAAAGAAAATCAGAAACAAAAATAATACCACTGGGATTTAAATAAAATTGAAAAGCTTTAACACGGATTTACAATGTCTTATTTTGCTGCTGGTGCCAATTCACTAATGTAGAAATGTAATTACACAGATCTGTGCGTACAAACGTGATGTATGAAGGTATTTTTCCGGCAAATTTCACCTTATGTATATACAATTTAGCTATTATTATGATCAGGTTTATTATAAAACATTTATTTGGTTTAAACAAAAGGTCATCAAAAAGATATAAAACAGTGGCTTTTGAGGGGGATTTCTTAACCAACCTTTCTCTTCAGGTCAAAAAAGAGATCAACCCAGAGCGAGTAAGAGAATACACCGTTAAAAATAAAAAAAATACACCGTGTTCAATGGATTCTGGAGCCCCTTTACAAAAAGTACAGGCATCACTCACGTCCAAACTGTGCAGCTGTTCTGCCTTTGTTGAGTTGACCACTGTAATGTTGCTAATGGAATAGATTTACAAAATAAAAGCTGCCTTATAAAATTACTGTTACACTTCTTATCTATTATATCAACCCCATTAATAAACATAATATAGTTCTGTAGAGAAAAATCCTCTATAACCTTTTGATTAGAGAAGACCATCAGGGATAGAGTCACATATCCTCTTAAAGTTTGTATTTTAACTGACCGCACCAAATTTATTGCAAAAGTCAGAGCAAGAAATAAAATGATGATTATCATCAAGTAATTGGTTATTCAGCAAAATATTATTAAACCACAGATGTGAGAACAGTGACCTTCCCTTATAGATAATGCGTTCATTGTTCCAAAGTAAAGACTGATGAGGTGAAAAATTGTGTTTGTTTAACAAAGCTTGTCTGTGAAAGTCTGATAGCTTCATTGGTAATTTATGAATATTGTAAGGGCACATAAGCGAAAATTTTAATCCAGCAAGTTTTTTTGAAAAGAAATGAAATGAACTTTTAGCCAACTGTGTCTGAACACACCGGAATTAGACCTCCGCATTTAACCCATCCGTGCAGTGAAACACCACATACACACTAGTGAACACACACACAAACACACTAGGGGGCAGTGAGCATGCTTGCCTGGAGCGGTGGGCGGCCCTATCCACAGTGCCCAGGGAGCAGTTGGGGGTTAGGTGCCTTGCTCAAGGGCACTTCAGTCACGCACTGTCAGCTCAGGAGATCGACCCTGCGACTTTCCAGGCACAGGGCTGGTTCCCTAACCTCCAGCCCATGACTGCCCCCTAAATCTCTGCTCCAGGTGAGGCTCGAACTCACAACCTTGGCATAGCTTCACTTGTACTGCTGTATAAGTACCGCGCACTGACCAATTGATAGGTATGCAAGTCCATATACTTGCAGGACTTCTGAGGAGTCTTCTAATCCAGCTAATAATAATAATAATAATAATAATCATAATAATAATAATAATACATTATACTTATATAGCGCTTTTCAAGAACTCAAAGACGCTTATAGGTTTTCGAAATACAGAGAGGTAAGAAGGAGCAATGAGAGGAGCAGGGTTATGTACAGCTCTGTATGTGAGGAGAAGAATTTTGAATTGTATGGGGTATTTTGCAGGAAGCCAGTGGAGATGTTGAAGGATGGGTGTAATATGCTGATGGGCACGGGTGCGGGTGAGGAGGCGAGCAGCAGAGTTATCATGCTCATGGTTCTTGACGTTCACACTCATTCGTCAAAACACAAAAAGCTTTTTTCACATTCCGGTACAAATCTGTTCTGTAGGCCAGCATCTCAAGAGTACCTATGATAGACGGGTTCTAGTTGAAAACTCTGAACGTTTTTAAACACTAGAATGCACTTATGACAGGTCAAAATAACCCACATAAATGTGTTTTATCAACTAAATCCTGGAATTTCATAATAAAAAATCTTTATAACGACTTTTTTTTTTTTTACATTTAAAAGGATTTGGTATTACTGTCACACATTTCCATAAGTCTACTAAAAATGACTCAATATGCCTAAAAAATCATATTAAATGTTATATACCCTGACAGGCCACTTTATTAGCTCATTCTACCTTGTTTCTACACTCACTGTCCATTTTATCAGCTCCACTGTAGTTCAGACCAATTAAAACACGGCGTGGGAGGAGCTGGATCAGATCCAGCCGAACCCCCTGGACTTTTGGTTCTGCAGCGAGGACCATCTCAGTTCTCCGGCTATTTGTCGTTAGCCGGGGGGGGGGGACTTTTATTTTGCTTCCGCCGTAACGCATTTCTTTCCGGCGTGGTTGCGCTCAGGTCTTTTCCTCAGACCTGAATCAACATGGTGGGTTGTTTACAATCGAGTACGAACGTTTGGGAATCCGCTGTAATCCTTCATTATCCCTGAAAAACCAGAGTTCAAAGCATTTGTATTAGACTTTTCACATAATTATACATCAATAACACTGAGTAGTGTGGAAAGAGACGGATGTATCACAGTAATTTTTAATTTAGAAAATGGATCCGACCGACTGATCCAGTTAACGCAGCCCCGATAGTTCAGCGCTTCGTGAGACGTTTTGGCCGCCGCTGCTGTCCGTTTATTAACTTAACTGCTTATTAATAAACACAGGCTACGCGGTTTTACGCGGACTTTATCAGTGGCTGATTAGAATGACGCTCTTTTCCCCTTCAAACCCCCCGACGCTCCCTTAGACGTAGCAAAGCCCTGCGGTGTTTGAGGTAAATGCTCAATAAGTAGCTGTGTTTTCGCTTTAGGGTCGCGTCAGAACAAAGACGGTGAAGAAGGCCGCCCGGGTCATCATTGAGAAATACTACACCCGACTGGGCAACGACTTCCATGTGAACAAGAGGGTGTGTGAGGAGATCGCCATCATCCCCAGCAAACCTCTGCGCAACAAGATAGCCGGGTGAGTACAGGAGCTGCAGCACAGCGCCGTCCACCGAGAGCCGCAGGAGCCGATTTCCCCCAGAAAAGAAGACCAAACTTCATCATAATTAAGAGAAAGTCGGTCATCATTATGAGACACGGTGTCAGTTGCGATGCCAAGTCGTAATTTTAAGATGTGAAGTCGTAATTATGAGAAAATAAGCCATAATTGAGATACTAAGTCATAATTATGACAAACTCGAGGTTCCGGGTCATAATTAGGAGGAAGTAAGTCATAATTAAGAGATACTATGTCAATTATGAGAAAGTGACAATTGAGATACTAAGTCATAAATATGAGAAAGTAAGTCATAATTATGATAATGTAAGACATAATTGAGGTGCTAAGTCATAATTATGAGAAAATGAGTTATAATAAACTTTATTATGCCTGACTGAATGGCTGTACATTCTCAGCACTGCTGTGTCTGATCCACTCGTACCAGCACAACACACACTAACACACCACCACCACGTCAGTGTTACTTCAGTGCTGAGAATGATCCACCACCCAAACAGTACCTGCTCTGTGAGGGTCCATGGGGGTCCTGACCACTGAAGAACAGGGTAAAAGGGGGCTAACAAAGTATGCAGAGAAACAGATGGACTACAGTCTGTAACTGTAGGACTACAAAGTGCACCTATATAGTAAGTGGAGCTGATAAAATGGACAATGAGCGTAGAAACAAGGAGGTGGTCATAATGTTACTGGTGGAAACAGGCTTCCATAGATAGCAGCTCCATGTCTTTCAGTTTGTGAATCCATCCAGGGGCGTAGAATAGGGGTGACCAGTGCCATCCTGGAATAAAGCATGGACACTGCTCTGACCAGTTATGGCAAATTGAGATGGTCATCCATCATTAATGTATAACCTGTAGTAAATACAATCTAAATGAATAACTTCTGTGGCCTCTGTATGAAATGTGTTTTCACTGTGATTAATTTGATTCAAATACATTATTTCCTCATGAATGACCAAAATATGTTACATCAACACATTTTGTTTTTCAGTTTACTTTTATCGTTGTATTTTTATGTTTTATTCACATGGAAATCATGGGTAGATTTAGTTATGTACAGAGAAATACAACATAAAATTGTTATAAAGGAGTTACACAGATCTTTCAGGATTCTGCATATTTCAGTGGTTGAGATGTAAAAACACATTCAGAGTTGTTTGGTGTGAAGTGGTGCAATGTAGACAAACTGCCGAGAAACTGTATTTCTTTACAGTAATGGTGACAGAAACCAGATATTTTATCCAGTGAACCTGTACATGTCCTCTTGAGTTTTTATATTTAATTTTGGCAAACATAAAAAAAAAGTTTTCTTTGGATATTATAACCTTCCGTATCAATGTTGTCAGAAGAAAACCTCATATCTCCAAAATACTAACTGTACAGGAGAAGGAAAAAACATGCTTTACTTTTAATGTTAGTCAATGGAACCAGACTTTTTTCAGAGCTATTTTGGGCCGTTTATTTTGGTCCATTCAGCATAAAATTTACATACAATGTAAAGGACAAACAGGTATTTTGAAATTGTCAAAAACTGAAAAACGTCAAAAATGGAGATACAAGGTTTTCTTCTGACAGCAGCAACATACCTCTCCACCATGAACGGACACATTTTTATAGGCCAAATTCTCATTTCTGTTATATATACAATAATGACACAGGCATCAGGCAGCATATTCATAAGCATTTTGTATAATGTCTTTATGTGAGGAAGTCTTCAGTGGCATTAAATGCTTTGCACATTTGGTTACTATCACCACCACTGTTAACAGGTCTCAACAAATTTCCCTTTACATTATAGGAGTGAGGATTGGACCCACTAGCAGGCTATGGTCATTTATTTGGTCAAGCCATTTGTTTGGCTGAACAAACATGCTGGGCAGCTTGCTTTCCCTAGTTCACGTGTAATAAATACCATGTACATTTAGTTTACATACTGTAGATCAACGGTGTCCGGTCTTATACATAAAGGGCCAGTGTGGCTGCAGGTTTTCACTCCGAACGAGCAGGAGCTCACCTGATTGCACTTTTTTAAATAATTGCTAAATCTTCCAACAACCGATCATGTGAGCTCCTGCTTTGATGGGATGAAAACCTGCAGCCACACTGGCCCTTTGAGGATAAGACTGGACACCCCTGCTGTAGATAATGTATGCTTAGTGGCTGTTTTTGAATTTATTTCTGTAGTATTCCTGTTCAAAGCTGGCTTTCCCAAAAGCACTAAGATGCATTTGGGAAACTGGACCCAAAATTGTCCATCTGTGTATGCACCAGTTCCACCAAGACAAGTGTCTAGAACATGCAGGTGTACTTGACCAGTTCATTTCAGATTCAGCAGCGTACGCTTAGTGAACATATTTGGCAGGTCTGTTTGCCGACACACAGGCTTCACGTGCACCTGTAAGTGTATTTGTCCACTCCTCTATGTGCAGATATGTGACCCATCTGATGAAGAGAATCCAGAGGGGTCCAGTCAGAGGCATCTCCATCAAGCTCCAGGAAGAGGAGAGGGAGAGGAGAGATAACTACGTCCCTGAGGTCAGTGGGACTCTTTCTGAAGGGCTGGTTTGTCCTGAAAGAAATCTTAAGCTGCATTTCAAAAGGTGGGCTGCATTGTTTGGACTGCTAACGTCATGGAAGGCTCTTCCAATCAGAAAGATACTTTGAATACATCTGAGAAAGCAGCCTACATTCTGACGGTTTTCGAGGTGCTACCGGAGTAGCCTTTCTAGTCTTGACGCCCAAAAAACCTTTGTGAACCTGACAACAGTTCAATAGAGGTGTTTGCAGATGAAATCAGTGTGTCTGAGTGTTGCACACATTGTACTGCGAGGCTAGTAGTATACAGTGCAGTGTTTTAGTTTTCATCTGTTTGTGAGGAAACTGAATGCATTATGAATAATTATGAACATTTTTTTTCTGTGCAGTTCTGTCCTTCACATCAGCAGGATTTTCTCCATCAAATTTCCTTACAACCATAAGACAGAAGACCCTGTCTCTCAGCCGTAGTCTAGCTTTTGGAACACAGCTTTAATGTTGGTTTGAGCTGGTTGATATAAATTTTTCAGATTTGAAGTTACTTTTTAAACAAAAATTACCAATTGGTATTACTGTTTATTTAAAAAGAAAAACAAAGCCCAACAGGCCTAATCTTGCTTGTTTATATATTCACATTATACTTATGTTTTGGCAAAAATAACATAATAGTGCCACGATTCTCCAGGGTATATTTTGGTTTGTCCATCTGAATTTACATCCTCAAATCTTAAGGCAAATTATTCAGTAACTGCATCAAACAAATGTAAATTTTTATTTTATTTATTTATTATTTATTTTGTAAAAGCTCCCCTCAAATTAACAGAACATGTGTTTTATGGTCATACACACATTTCCATATGCTTACAATTGACTGCTGAAAGCCAAAAATCTTAGACGCTCTTTATATTATTTTATAAAAATAATGTTTACAGAGCAGATCACTGAAGAGACGCTGTCTGTTTATAGTTTATAGCCCAGATTTGTGGAAAAATGGGTCGACTTTCAATAGACAAAAAAATTCAGCTTCTTCTATTATAAGGGTTTAAAATTACATCACCCATCTATTTGACTGGAAAGAAGACAGTTACAGCTCTCATACGACACCCAGCTTTTGAATGTAGCTTATGAAATATGAAAGTTATGAAGAACATGACAAAGAATATGACACCGGTGGTCCCAAGGAGTTGAAAAGGTTAAGAACTACCATAAAAAACTCCACATTTCATATACTGTACTGCGTTAAATCCAGTTGAACAGGACTAATTCTGCTCTCTATGTAAGGGAACAGGCAGTTGTTCAGTGCTCTGGAAGTACTGGTGATGTGACGTGCTCAAAAAACCATATTATCACAATAACAATGAAATATGGCAATATAGCTCAATTCTAATTTGGACTTTAAGTTGTTTGAAAAGTAACCACTTATTTTTTGTGGTCAGTCTTGTGGCTGCTTTTTTGCATCCCCTCCATCTTAAACTCTCATATTTGCATTTGGTCATTTTCACCAATGTGCTGATAATGACTGGTTCTGCGAGTCCACTCAACATGCACTTATGCAAAAATCATATCGTTGGTCAAGACTGTTGACATTATGATGATAATACTGTCAGGTTGCCTTAAACATTCAGATGTCACTGTGAGAATGTTTGCTCTCCTCGTGCAGCTGTTTTGATAACTGGTTCTAGAGAAATTCCTTCCATCTCGGCTGTCGTGACGTGGAATTCAATCTATCGATGGATCGTCTTGTGAATGTATAAAACGTGACGTGCTGTTTTTATTATTCATGGGTCTTTAGGTCTCAGCTCTGGATCAGGAGATCATCGAAGTGGATCCTGATACCAAGGAAATGCTGAGGATGCTGGTAAGTTATAACAGTCATTATGGACGTATCATGACACAGAGTTGGCGGCTTTGCCTTTAAAGTTGATGTGCAGCTTTTAAGTTTGAAAACTCTGGCAAAAGCCCAACTGATTGGAATTTAGGTAGCATAGCATGCAAACACCAGCCGTAAATGTTTATTAGCCCTGTGCTGTGAGACTCTGGGGCTCCCTGCAGAGCTGTGTGTGTAAAAGGTTTGATATTGCAGTGCAGGGTATAACCGTCACACCGTCTCTGCAGATATATGCAAAACAATTCTCCATACTAGAAAAATGCTAATCAGGTGGAATTTGTATTCCTTGTCGTAGCTGGTTGTCTCAACCATCAAGTCCAGTATCATCATTCTGCTGAATCACTAACTTCATTTGCAGAATAGTTACATTAGACCGTAATTCCACTCTTTTCTACACCAGTTTAAATGACTTTGATGCTCATTTGAGAATCTAACACAAGGTTCCTCGATTCATGATGATTTTATTTTATAGTCCTAATTTTATCCATACTTGTGCATTAATGTGCTACAGTTACAACAATAACAGGGGACTGATTTATTTTTCAGGACTTCGGCAGCCTCCCCAATCTGCAGGTTACCCAGCCCACCATTGGAATGAACTTCAGAACTCCCAGAGTCTAGATTTCTCCACTTCATACAGGAATAAAATTGGGATAAAAAGAGACTGTTTTTAGTCGTGATTTGCAAAAAAGGAACTATTGCGTTTTGGTAAACGTGGAGTTTGGAGAAAAGTTGAACTTCTTTAAATTGAGCACTGCCTACAGCTTCTGTGTGGCAGATTATTACCGTCCCTATTCACATTCCTGACTCCACTACTGACTATAACTCACTCATATTGTGAATTAAGTACATTTAAAGTAAACGTTTAAAGACCTACTCATAAATTGGAACTGTTAACCAGATTAACTGAAACTGTAAGACCACATCCAGTCTGGACGCAGCTACAGCATTTCTAATGCTGAACAAAGCACCATTATATTCTTAGCATTTTAATCAACAGGTAGAAAAAAAGAACAACAGCTGTCACTTTTAACTTGTATGCAGAAACGTTTATTGTTCTGCTGCTCTTAAGCTTTTTTCCCCTAATAAAAGGTAAATTTGGAAACAGTTTACTTCTGAGCTTTGATCCATTTCAAAATCAAACATGGTATCAGGGAGCTGGCTAAGAGTTTTCTTTCAATGGTGGGAGGTGGAGGTGACAAATGATATCATTGGTTAATATGTTTTCCATCTGCTGGTGCACCATTACAATCATAATGGAAATGAAGTTTTCAAGGTGCACAAAAGTTCAGTTTCGATGGAAAACAATAATATGGACATCATTTAGTCCATTTAGATTTCAGGTTGACTTTAAGAAAATACAGTCAGTTCTATTTGACTATAAATGCCTGAAATCTGCAGAAACCCTGATGGTTTCATTAAGAATTAATTAAGAGATTATAAAATTATATATACATTGTTCCACAATCTAATCAAAGGCCTGTCCAGTCAGAGGCTGCCTGCTGCTTCAGTAAATACACTGTAAGTACTGAGGGTGTAAATCTCTGACCTCAGGATTTGTTGTCAGTTCTCTAGAAACAGTTCAGTGCAGTCGATCTCAGATATACAGCAACATAAAGACTCGTTCAGGAAAAAAAAGATTTTGTTCCAAGGGCAAAGAAACGTTATGATCCACGATTTGATTCGATTGATTGGTTATTTTGGTACAATTCAGGATCTTCAAAATGCACTTAATACAAACATGTGGCACATAGGCAATGAAAACAAATACCAAGCTTTCTTTTATTTTTACATTTGAAAATGTACCACAAAAATGAGCTTCACTGGGTTTTCTGATGGATAATAAATGATTCTCATATTCCAGAATCAATGCAGTTGAATCACCTCCTCCAGACTGATTCTCCACACTGCAGCTTCACACCCCTCAGTAAATACAGTATAGAAATCACCGTAACCTTTAACAGGTTTCATAATAAGACAGTGATGAAATAAGAGTGTTTAATGAAGAAAATACAAGACTTTTTTTCAGAATTTGATTTTTTTTAAAAAGCCACAGTTTTCTACAGACAGCAAAAATCTTTGTACAGAAATAAGCAACAACAGAATTCCTCATCTGCAACACTGTAAAACCTGTCGCTCAAATACCGTTTCAGAGGCAAAAAAAACAAAAGAACAAGACCAGCTGCCTACTGCTACGCTATGACACTACATTACACAAATATAGCTTTAGATTCAAAACACAGGATATGTAAGAAATGTTTTTTTTTTCCCGAAGTTGCTGAAAAAGTGCAATAGAGGTTTAGGTTGACTGTCTACAACTCTATTAGTTTATCCCAAATAGGTGATCCTCTCATTCGCGCGTGTTCCTACATTAAAACCCGACTTCTTATAGTCATACTGACATTCAAAAAGATGCAGAAGATGATGAGAGACATGGTGGCAATAAAGTAGAGCAAATAATCATGATTGCAGTGATATTTTTTTCTTTGGGTAAAAGGGCAGAAGGGGAATGATTTCCAGGAGGGGACCAGCTGTTTTTTTTTCCTCTTTCACATTGAAATCCTATACAGATCAATGTATTTCTTCACATAAAACAACTACGAGAAAAAGAAGGGGGGATAATGAAGACGGGGAGTCCTGTTTGAAAGGTTAGCATTATTTGCGCTTTACAGTCTAAAGTGCTGTGGATGTGATTTTAACACATACAGAGCAAAATGGTACGTTTCTCATAGTGACCACATTCTGAATGTAGCACATCTGGAGTCCAGCACTGGATGAGAGATTCCTTTGTTAGTTTATACTGCATTTTCCGATGTAACAGTAGAGCCTAACTAACTTTAAACTCATCGTAAGCCGCCGTCTCGCAGCTGAAAACCTCGTACCAGCAAACTGACTGACCGGCATCGTTCAGCCTGTGAATGAGGCAGTACGTTACATCACAGTGCTGGGCGAAAAAAGCCGTATATGCTTCCCCTTCTGTGATAAAACAGGCAATCAGACGAAAATATAAGGCAATATTAGGACCTCCCATTAAGAAAAACAGAGAAAAATCTCGTACCAAGGGCAAAGCAACGTTACAATCCAATATCCAGTCAAATCTGTTTCAGAAAATGGAGCATGGACTCTGCCAGAGAGGAAAGAGAGCGGCATGGAAGGCTTTCACACTCTCATCCAAACCAAAAAAAATAGCTATTTCTGAAGAAATAAAAGAAGAATGAGGCAGTTTTGAACTTATATACATATCTATACGTGTATATGTATATAAAATAATACAAAAAACATTTAGAAAATAAAGAAAATGGCACAATATATGACATACAAAAAAAAGGGAAAGACATCATTCAATCCAAAATGCTTAATACAAAAATGAGTTATGGAAATAAAAAGGACGACGTCCGATGTTCACCTCACTGGAACGAGGAGGGGGCGGCGAGGCTTTATATATAGATACAAAAACGCACAAAGGAAAGACACAAATGAAACACTGTAAATTGTGCCTTAAGAGCACCAACACGAACACCAGCATACTGTAATCTTCCTTTTTTCTTAGGATAACGAAACGGTGTCTTTCGGAGCCGCAGCTCTCCGTAGCGAGAAAAAGGAAAAAGAACGAAGGTAACCGGACAAAAAAAATCTTCTGGTAGAAGGAATCGGTGTCCACACAGAGAAATCTTCACTCCTTGAGACGATGGCCATTTCCTTCCTGAGAGTTAGCAAGGCAAGCCAAATGTTTTAAGTTAGTTAGTTTGTTGTCTTTTCTCTGCGCTCTGTGAAGGACTGAGGAGTCGTCCACGCCTCGGTGGGCCCCCCCTGCCAGGGGTAAGAGTTCTAATTGTGTGTATGTGTTGTGCTCAGGCTGTGGTGATGGCGTTTAGGTCCTTCATTAAACCCTCCAGGTGGGCCATTTCCTCCGACAGCTCGTCCGTCTCATAGTTCTGAGGAAGAGGAAGAGGGTTACTGCAGGGGTGGGGGGTGGGGGCAGGCTTGGGGTGGGTGGGAAGGGGGGGGCGAGGCTTTGGAATTAGGCTTAGGGATGGGCGTCACTTTTAAGGTAAGTTATGAAGAAGACAGTCAAAGATACTGTAGAGCAGAAGCGTCATCCAAAGATGTAAATGAAAGGTTCACAGCCGCGAGCGTTCATGAAGATAATGGGACATGTTTTATCGTTCATGCAGGACGAGTAGGAACAATGCAGCAAACGAATTAAAAGCATGCAGCGATAAATTGAATCAACAGCCAATAAGTGTTGGAGAGAAAAGGGAGAGCAAAGCGCAGAGGTTTGAGAGAGGAAAGATAAACCAGATTAAAATCACATCTGAAATGCAAAACACCCTGAGCATTTTCACTAATGTGTGTATGAATTTCAAGGCTACATTGGAGCAACATAGCGATCACTGAGCTGTGCGCCACACTGGCTTCTTTACAAGAATATTCCAGCATTTTTCAACATAATCACTTCATCTGCCATGTTCAGTGTAGCGTTCTTGCTAGATTACTAACAGGTCGATTACAACACACAATTATCCCTGAACTTAGAGAAGATCAGAAGACCTGTTGGCTCAGAGTAAACTACAGGAGAAGGTAAAGAACCTGCAGACTGGCTTCTACTCTGAGCCAACAGGTCGTCTGTTCATTTCTAAGTAATCGACCACACAATACAGACGCAGCACACACAGGTCTGGCAGTCTTGCAGGGCCAGATCGCCTAATGTTCACGTCTGGGGACAACCATGAAAACGCCTTATGTTCCTTCATGAATAAGCCAGTATTACATTATATCACAAGCTATGTTTCCATCCAAAGGGAATTTCTATGAAAAATGATTCAAAACACAGAAACCAAAATTGTCACTAATATTTTATGACTGTCAACAAATTTTTTTTCTACTCACCTTAGTGGATAAACTGTTTATCGAACACTGAGATGTTGTGAAATCCCACATCGGAAACGCGTCAACGCGTTTTTTTGTTGATGCACCAAAACTTATGCAATAACATATTTTTGCAGGCATTAGGCTTTTCCCATATGTTCCCCTGTTTTCACCAAAGGCAAAGCAATGTCACAATCCAATTTCCAGCCAATTTCAGAGGATGGAGCACGGACTCTCAAAGAGAGGAAGAACGGCATGGAAGGCGTCTGCAGTCTCAAACTAAAAACACTATTTTTGAAGAATAAATAAGAATGATGCAGTTTTGAATTTACATACATATCTACAAGTGTATATACACATACCTATATATATATATATATATATATATATATATATATATATATATATATATTAGCTTTTAGACATAATTTGAAAATGCCTGTTGGCCTTTACATTGTATGTAAATTTCATGATGAATGGACAAAAAGAAATGGACCATAATGACTTGTAAAAATGTCTGGTTCCATTGATTTACATAAAAGGTAAAGTACGTTTTTCCTTCTCCTGTTGTCATTTTGGAGGTTTTCTTCCGTATATATATATGAAAAGTCCCCCAAAACAGTCACATTTAAGTATGAAAACTCATTACAAGTGGTAATAGCTAACAGTAGCATTTTGCTAGCTAGCTTGTTTTGCTTGTGTTATTTATTGTATTCCAGATGTTAAAAGAGCAAACTAGAGGAATTTGGGAGCAGGATTTAGTGGCGCTGAACCATCCTTAGCTTCAGATTTAACAAGTTGTCCCACAACCATTTTCTTGTTACGAGATCACGCCTGACCACACAAGACTGGAGATCAGGCTGAAAAATGCTGGACTTTCCTTTAATGGCTCAGTGAAATGGCTGATGTGCAGCGTTACTAAGCTGATGTGAAGCAGGCTGGCAGTGATACTCACGCCCTCGATATCTTCATGTATCTTGCTGCTCTCCGACACATCCGGAGCATTGGGAACTATGACAGGCATGGGCGTCCTCGTCCTTCCCAGCGTCCCGATGGAGGCGGTCTTGACTGCGTGAGGACCTGAAAACATCCCACACATTTCTGAATTAAGCACTTTTATCACAGCTCAAAGTCCAAAAGCAATAGATCCACATTTACACTGTGGAATTTACAGTGTTCCACATTTACAATATACCCCTTACCCCAAACGTACTCAATCAGCCTAGACTCAAACCT